ATCGGCCGCTTTTCGATGGTCACGTTGAAGCGTTTATCTCGCGTGGCTTCTTGCTTGAGAGGCAAAGTGTTCTTGCGGGCAATGGCGTCTAAAGAATGAAGTCCCCATTGTTAGTTCAACTTGTCAGCGCCTGCCGGCAGGCAGTGTATCCGCAGGACTTGCATCGCGGCAGCAGGAGTATGGCTCAATGTCAGAGTATGTCAGGATGATCCGAGAGAGATTGGAGTTGGCCGCATACGGGCGTATGAGGCCACCGTAATCAAAAGCCACATTTTTCCGGTTGGCTGCAATCCTGTGTCGCTCTCCATTCAATGCAGGGCCAAACCTGCCAACATTTGAGGCTTCCTTGCCAGGCCGAAATCATGTGCCAACCTGGCGCTAATTAGGCGCTCTTTGCAGTATACGTAGAGTGCGGGAACATGCTGGCGGTAGCAATTGCCACACCGATCGCGCCAGGAACTGCTTTGCCAATCTGTTTCTGCGAATGGGAGGGGAGGCGTCAACCCTGCCCAAAGGCGTGCAGGCTTTGCAGGCTCTTTGCCCGACCGTCGTGTCAAAGTTTCCGACCGAGCCCATGCTTCTCAAATCAGCACACAATCCTAGCCCCTACCAATTGCTTCACTGGAACATGGCACGCAAGCCAAGGTTTCGAATCTGCGCCACCAACATCAGCTTCGCATATCCAGAGCACACCGGGGGAGGCAGCAACATCCTATACCGGACGAGCTTCCAAATCCCTCAGGGCACGCTGGTGGCGATCACAGGCCCCCGTGGCTCCGGCAAGAAGACAGTCCTGGAGCTCGTCGCAGGTCGGCCAAAAGACTGGGCTCTTCTTAAGCAATCCTTAGCTTGCTGGTGCTCAGTAGGGAAGGACGGAATGACCCCTATAAGCCATCTCCTATAGTTTCCTTTTAGGGAATCCCCAGGTGCATTCCCTCATTCCGTGCTGAGCACCAGCAAGTTAATCCTTGTGCCGAGTGGCAGCGGTTTTCCATGGTTTTCTTTGTATAGGTGTGCAGTATTGCCATCATGGATTTCAGATTAGGGTTTGGGATCCATTTTGAACAGACCAGTTGGCCGTTGCTTCCACTGAATCCCCACTCTAATTGTCAAGCTCAAGAGAAGTTCCCATTTCTGTGCGCGTACCCTGTCAATAATTCAGAATGGTCAGCCAGAGTTTGCGATGAGAGACGCCTTGTGCTTTTTTCGACACATGGCAGTGGGCCTGAGCCCTGCTTAAGAGGAATGTAGTCCTCTCAAACCTTTCCGTAAGCTTCCATGATTGTTTAAAGAGGGTACGCAGTCAAGCGTGTGTTGTTTTGAGGAAGCTCCCTCAGCGAAACAACCGCAGGCAACAAATTCACGGCATTAGCTGAAGTCATTCACAGCCGCACAGGGGGGGGGGGGGGGGATTTTTGGATGGCCAAACAAGTGTGGAGATTCCGAGCTTGCCTTCTCCTGCTATTTCCTGCCTTTGGCAAAATCCGAGGCTACTATGCGAATGATTCAGAAAGTTAGGTTGTTGTCTTTCCTTTAGGCTTTAAGGTTTGGATTGAACTTCCTGCTAGTGGTTCCCCTTGTGGTAGTTGCGTTTTTTGGAATCCGGAGTAGGACAAGGCCCTCCCCACGCCCCTGCATGTTGAACCCAGTTTTGAGCTGTTTCTCCTGCTCAATTCCCCGCAAAGGAAACCACCAGTTGGATGCTATGAATCGGGGTCGTTCCATTTCTCCTTGCCTGCATCTCGCGCACCGATGGCAAGTTCCGTAGGCGTCCTGCTGCCAGCGTCGGGGAGCCGTCTCTTCGTGCCGCCCCACTTGCGAGTACTCCATGTTGCCAAGGATCCACAGAGCCTTCCCGAGCTGGACCTCTTCAGCGGCCCTTCAGAAAATTCTGCCAATTGGGCCCACTTGTTCTGTCTTCCATTTGCTTAAGAATGTTTTATTATTATTGTTATCATAAACACTATTGTTATTGCTATTAGTACTACTATTATGGTTCTTATTATTACTATCAGTATTATTATATATTAAAAACACAGTCTTCCATGTGCTTGACAACGTTTTGTTTCACAAATCCCTCTTTCACTATCACCGCTGTGTTTTTGTTCTCCAGGGCTTAAGCAAAGGGACGTAGCAGAAAGCACATGTTGGCGCTATTACCAGGGGGGCTGGCAAGCAAAGTGGACATACTATTGCAATGCCCTGAGGCGCATGGCGAATCTAAGGGTTGCTGTTGTCAGCCATTTGAGGCCTGCCAACCAGCCCCACTGGTACCCCGCTAATTGCAAACATCCACGTCATACCCCTCTTGGATAAGCGGTGAGCAGTAATAAACTGTGAAAAGCCTCGAGAAATATAGTAGCCACACGGGTGCTGAACTGGTGTTGAACAAAGTTTATCATAACCAGGTCTTGAAAGGTTTGCACGCATGTCAATGTGTTGCTTTCATTGCAGCCTTAGTCTGTGAGAGCTCGAGAGGCGAAGCAGCTTGGTCTAAAGTTCCATCATCAATTTGGTCAATCGAAAGCATGCCCTTGGTAGTTTGTTTTAAGCGTAAGAACTACGTCGAACGGTGCGTATACATACATATATGAATATATAGATACATGCACTTGTCGCCTTTGAACTGAGCTCCTTGAGCTGTATCAAGCATATTTTGTGCGGAGTGCATGTGGGTATGCAGTTGGGTGCCCCAAACCGCGTACTTGTTGTTAATGACCTTTTCATTAATTTGCACCCAAAGGTTTTCACCTGTCGTGAACTACTTACACAAACAGCATGGGACAAACCCCAGGGCACGTCATTTCCCTTGTGAGGCATGAAATCTGGACAAGTCATACCTTTCTCATTTGGGTTCAACAGTGAGCTCACCCATGATGAGCTTTCTTGACTCGCTTCATTTCCGTATCTACTAGCGAATCCCACCAAATTGGAACACCTTCCTGTACTGTGGATGGTCAATCCCCTGTTGGCGGTTTATGCCAGTCTTCCCGGGGCTTTATTTTTTCAACCTAGTGCACAGTGGGCAAACATGTTTGGTCCATTCCTATCAACCCATCCAGCGAAACCAAAGATGTCTTAGGCAACGTCATCTTCGGCACCTCTGCGCGGGAGAGCCGCCTGAGCACTCGGGTCATGAAAATCTGCAACCGCCTTGGCCTGGACCCGGAAGTGCGGAAGATGGTGGAGCAGGCGGCCATGGACTACGTCACCGAGGCCTCTGAGAAGACCAAGGAGAAGGCGCCGGACTGGACGGGGCCAGTTCTTGGGTATTTTTTTGAGGTCCCTTTGGGAAAAAGGTGCCAGTTGATTCACGGAAGGGGCTCCTACCCCCTACCCTTTTTTCTGCAGTTGAAGCAAAGTGCTTTGGTTTTGGGGCAGAGTTTCACTGAACCCTAAAAGCAAGGTTCAAAACCACTCGGCTGTGCATCTAACTGACGCATTGACCCCTGCCCTTGTTTGGTGACTCCCTTCCACATGGCAAAGGATGGTGGTTTCCTTTTCGGAGACGCCCCAGAGCAGGCTTTGTTTTGAGACATTTTAGTGGGAAACCTGCAGTGAGAGGCAGTCAGTTTGGTTTCAGCGTCCTTCCCAGCCGTGGCCCCACAAACTTCATCAGCCAGATCTTTTGGACAGGTTTTTGCGGGGCCCGGTGTCCAAGCCAATACGCAGCGCAGATCCAAGTCCCAAAGAACAACTGCTGCAGCAATAAGTAGCATGTTAGCCATTGGATTTTGCGGACTGCGGCAAGGGCTGAGAAAGGTCCGCCATCCACAAAGGTGTGTTCTGCTTGATTTGGCACCGAGTTTCAACAAGAAGGGCTATTTAGGTGGACAGGTCTCACTTTTCAAAGCAAGCAACTTTGGCCAGCCCCGATTGATTGCCCGAGTCACTCCACCTGATGCTGCTTCAATAGATTCGGAAGGCTGGCTACTTTGGACAAAGAGTTGTCCACTTTGACAGTGGTGAACGTGTGTGTGTGTCATAGATACTCATCAGCACATCCACTGGAATGCCGCCATCTGATAGGGCATGCATGACATGACATAAGCTTGATGACGCTCATTCAGACGCACTGCTTCAACATGGGGCTTGTGACGACTTGTGCACAAGGGTCTACAGGCAAATTTGCCCTTCTGATCATCTCAATGGCTTGGCCAGACAGGCGCACGGCCCCACAAGGGAGGGGAGTGCAGCATCAGTCGTGGCGCGGGCGATGCAGAACAAGTTGGTGCGAGGGATGCACAGCTTTCCCTTCACAGAGCAACTTGCTGATAGGACTGGAGGTTTTGGCGCAGTTGTCTTTTCAGGTTGATGCGCTTGTAAACGCTGCCAGTTTTGGAGCTAGGGGGTTGGACTCGATCCCTACCTGTCCGGGCTGAACTACCCTTCGCGGCTGAGGCAGTGCCTGCTGAACCTGTGCCGTGCCTTCATCCTTAACCCTGAGGCGTGCGCTTTCGCTTCGGGAGATAAAGGGAATGGGCACGATAGAAAGTAGAAGCCAACATGGGGGGGAAGCTAGACAACTCATTTTCTGTGCCATGGCCTAAATTGGTCTTAAACCTGCCCCCAACCCCAGCCTGATTTTGAGAGACCCGTTCTATATATATATAGAGATATACACATATATATATATATCTAGCGCCAAGATTGACAGCGTGTAAACGTGCTTTTCGAGGGAGTCAGCCAAGACGGGTGACCAGCAACTCAGCCTAATTATTTGTGTGGTTGCATCATGTGTTACATTTGGTTCTTAGATGCTGCTGCGTGCATCTTGTAGAAACATATGCTTGTGTTGGCGGCTGCTTGTGACATGACCCCGAAAACATCACCTGTCATGATCAGGCAAACTGGGACATCGGAAGCCTTGTCTTGTGAACAGTCTTGGGCTCACGGCAAAGCGCGGTCCTTTTGTCAAGCTCTAGTCCTTTGGGCGCGGTCGTTTTGCCGCCTTGAGGGTCTACCTTGAAACTTCTTTCTGGGACTGAGAAAGGTTGGTTTCCCTGGGCAGGTGTTGGTTCTTCACAAGCCACTGGAGAACTTTGGGCGGCTGCATGGTCGCCGCATTGTGGACCTCCTGAGGCGGTTCGAGTCTCATCGCTGCGCTTTCGTCCTTGTATGCTTTCCTTACGTCCCCTAAGAGGGAATTAGAGGTTAGGGCCTCTGGAATTTCAAAGAGAATCAGACATGTCTCATGCCTCGGGCGGTTTGACATCCAAATCAAACCCACCATCAGAAGTAGCTTTCTTCCAAGCTCTGCAACTGAAGATGCATCATGGGCATGCACTTCAACGAGCGGCTCAGTTGACCACACCCGGAATTTGCAGCTGCGTTCACCGTTGCGCCTGAGGCTTCCAACAAGGCATGTGGGAGCTAGACGTTTACGGAAGAGGAACAGTCCAGCGAATGCTTACAAGACCCCCAACTGTGCTCCCGCAAACAAAGAGCACCCCGAACCCACGGCTACTGACGCCGTAGGCAAAAAGAAGCCTGCACCCTCAAGCAACAGTTGGGCCACTTAGTTGGTAAAGTCCAGATGGCGTTGAGCGAAAGTATGTGCCCATGAGAGGCTTAGGCCATCCTGGCGTTGACCCGTGGAAACGGATGAAAGAGCTGTGCATTCGTGGGCGGGGTCCGGACCGGTTTTTCTTCTCGGCTGCATCTCAGCATGACCCTCCCCAGTCAAGTTGGAATGTGTGCTTGGTCCAGGGAGTTCGTGGACAACCGGGGCCTAGAGCAAGCTCCACAAGAGCTCCACCTTCGCCGCCCACGCACTGTGATTATGTCGGCGGATGGTCTTGGGCTTAGTGAGAGCAGAGCTTGTCAGTGTGGACAGTATGAACTGTTCAGAAGGCAGCCTTGCCTTTCTTCTTTCAAATCACGAGATACGTGAATTTGTTTGGTGCTGGTCGCCGGAAGCACCCGACCACAAGAAACCGCAGCACCTAAGGCGGTGCATGTCAATCATCACAGTTCCAGGCTGACCAAGCACCACTTGACAAGTTAAGTTGGAGTTAGCAGGTGCCTCACCTTTCAGCTTTCCGAACAGAGCAGCTGTAAGGCAAGCATTGAATGTTCACCTTCAGATCTTAAGACGACTTGCTGGTGCTCAGCAGGAGCTTGGCTGGGTTCATTCCCACATCCCTGCCTATTGCGCCAGCAAGACGAATTCAGCCCCTTTGCAGCGACTGGGCGCGTTAAGGCTGCGACTTTTTGGACTCCATGGACATCCTTCTTTCTGTGGACGATGGCTCCGTGAGCGAACTCAGCCTGGCCGCTCTTGCACATGTGCGGAAAGAGGTGCTCGGCTTGAAGGAAGCAACACAAACTGACTTCCGATGTTTGGCCTGTGTAAAGCATAGAAGTTGCTCAGAGGGCCTGTGTCAGGTGACCAAACTCTTCTACGGCCTGGATGTGAAAGGTGACGGTTTGCTGCGAGTCAAAGACTTCACGCGCATTTCTGAGGCAAGGTTCCAGGGTCATTTGCTTGGCTGACGCATGGGCTAAGGGTTTTCGACTGGAGGGGATTTGTCGACTGGAGGGATGTTCCATTCTTCGGCCAGGGGAGGGAGGGTACGGAGCAGTAAAAATAACGCCGGGGGCCGAGAAATTGCAAAACAATGCCTCCAAACAGTAAACATCAATAAACATGAGAGAAGAACACGGGACTGCAAGGGCAGAGGTTTCATGAAATGTTGCTCGAGCACAGGTTTGGCCACAGTACCAGGGCCTCTTCGGCGTGCCGGAGACCGCGGAGCCGCAGGAAGCCACGCAGATCCTGGCTTTGCTGTTCGCTGAGATCGACGGAGGCAGGGGATTTAAATGAGCAAGGCCCATGCCAGGCTATGTCCTGGAAGGGAGGGGAAACAGTGGAAAGGGAGGAGCCAAGGGAACAAAAGGAATGGCGACCGGAGCGCTGGAAAGGAAAGGAGGCAAGGCAAACAGCGCCGGAAGCTGCTGTTTGAGCCAGGCCCAGCTCAGCAGTCCCCCAAAACTGCACTCGAGCCAAGATTTGTTGCGCAGCTAACATGTGGCCTGCCATGTTGGCCCCTGCAGTCCACACTCGTTCTGTGACAACGGCGATCCAGAAACATTCAGAGATCCCCTCACACGGTGGTGTGGCCTATCTAAAGGCATCAGAAAACGCGCGCCGAGCACCAGGCCCGTGCCTGCGGGGAGTCAAATCTTCCACTTCTCCTCCTCCTTCCTGCTTTTCCTTCCCCTCATCTTTCACTCACTCACTTAGCTTACCCTCACTTAGACATACTCGCTCTCTCTCACTCAGCTTGCCCTCACTGACTTTCAAGCACTCTAACTCTGACTCACTCCACCTACGCATGCTTCTCTCAGTTACTCAACTTACGCTCACTGACTTACACAGACGTACTCTCACTCATTCAACATTCCACTAACTTGCTCATATCCACTAAATTTGCCGTATTTTTCAGCAATTAGCGGCCCATAACAAGGGCCCAAGTAAAAGTCTTTAGATTCAAGCAAAGGCCGCTTAAAAAAAGCCTGGCATGTCAGGTTATCCGGCCCCGGCCCTTTAACTTCAAATTCCGCCCACTAGCGTTTCGTCGAGGCTTGCCGGTGTCCTTCTCCATTGAGGGTGTCTTTTCCGTGGGGTTTAGGCAGGAAACAAAGAGACCACGCAGTGCTGGTCAGGAAACGCAACGCTGTTGCAAGATTGTTGACTTGAATGCGGTTCAAAGGCAACCGGCCCTTACCCAGTCCGCCCCTGGACCACCTCGAAGCGCATTGGCAGACACGTATGCACTGCCAAATGTGTCACGGGAGCGGGTGGCGTGGGAGAAGGGGAAAGCAGGATCTTTGTGGTCGCCAACATGATGCCTTTTGGTTGCTTTCATTTTAAGACACGCCCATGCCGGTTGCCTTTTTCTGGGGCGAAGCTGCGGAGCCCGGAGGTCCGGAGGTTTTTGTTTGCCTGGATTGGGTCGTGGCAGGACCGCGTTCGGTCGGTTGGTGGCTCGGTCACCCGCCGGCTTGTTGGGGAATGTGTCGGTTTGTCGGTTCCCCCCTTTACCGAGCCTCACTGGTTTGTAGTTCAAATGTGCCAAATGCAGTCCTGAGCTCCACCACCAGACTTCCAGCCGAAACACTCGTTTCGAAGCAGACCAGCAAAGCAAACCGTTTGCTGTCAAGGATGCGTGCCGTGTTGACTTGCTTAAGCTTCCCCAGTTTGTTTAGCTTCAGTCCAACATTGCCTAAGAATCCTTTAGTTCGACACTTGGGACCCCGAGTCCTCCAAACGCTGGCAGGCGCAAATGGCGGGCTGGACATTGACGAAATGATGGAGTACATGGTGGCATCTTTTGGCCGTGACGTGCAGAAGTTGGAGCAAGCGCTGAAAAACCCCGAGGGCGTCTTGATCCACAAAGCGAGCTACGCCAATGCCAAACGGAGCAACACAATGCCTCTTGATGCATGGGCTGCACCGGACATCCCCACCGATTCACCCATCCCGGTCCAGAGGTTCGGCCCTCCAACACGGAGACCTGGCTGAGAACGGCTGGCACATCCTTCAGGATAGACGTCAGGGATTCCCGACGAACCCTGCAAAGGAATCTTAATGAAACTTGCATGCTGAAGGCGGCAAGCGACACGGTGCTGACGCTCACTCAGCTCAATGTCTTTTTGGCGGCTAGTTCCGCCGGAAGTACTGCCAATGCAGAACTTCCAGCTCAGTGAGAGGGAGGGTTTTCTGGCCAATGTGCTGACTCCCGTTTCCCCGCTGGCTTGACCAGCGGAGAAGACCAAGCGTTCAAAGAAAGTGACGCAACATATGACGCATGGCAGCACAAGCCACCGCGAGAGCAATGTCGGAGCGCCCTTGGCAAGGACGGAGTCACCTCACGTCATCGCTACTAAAGCTTTTGCATCCTGCCCTGTGGCAGAGTTTGGCTTAAGGACCGACGTCTTGCAGACAGACATGTCCATGTGGCCACGATTCTCTTTGCCGCCATCATTCGAGCTTTCCCGCTGCAGTCGTGGCATGTCATGGCTAGACTAGGAGTTCTGGCAGCATTTGTTTACCGCATACCGGTTCATCAGCCCAGACAGGCTTGCGTCAAAACGACGCCAGTGCCGAAACCAGCAGCCTGTACAAGATTGCCGATGGCCACGCACATTCCAGTGTTTCCATCGCACCCGGACAAGCTGCACAGCCAGAGCGCTTGCGACATGAAGCGACAAGCTGCCCTTCAGCGCGCCCAATCACAGCCTGAGACCACCGATGCGGCAAGCTCGCCATGAGTGTCCAGGCAGCAGTTTGATGCCAATGCAAATTGCGCACCCACAATGGGAAGAGCATGGCTTGCCACGATCTTTGTTCGTTTTAGCGGATGCGTGTAGGCGGCTTGAAGTGGCGCTTGGCATTCTTTTGGATTCCCTTGAAATCTGTGGGGTTTCCAGGGTCCTCTAGCGTGTGTATGGTTTTGGTTTGCTGTGTAATGCTTCGCCAAACTGAGGCACGAGCAAGAGCGACCCGGATTTGGACTGGTATTTACAGGCGGGCGTTCACCCTACCTCTCGAGCTTCAATACCTGCCCTGACAATGCTGTTTGCTTTGTCAGAAGTTTGGTACTCGAAATCCTTGGGGCCGATTTTGGTATTTACAGTTGTCTAGTAGCCAAAAGGCATGATTCCACAAAAGGGACTCTTCCGTGAGGAAATTGTCAAGAGGGATGTCACGACAAGATCGAGAGATTGCACTATCGAGACCGTGCAGAGATCCGAAGCCTTGCTCCAGAAAACTCAGCGTACCGACCGCTTGCCGGTTCTCCCCAATGGAAATGCAACTCTTTGTGGCCACGGCGCGTGTCATTTTACAAAAAATGGAAAGAGCTTTTCGCGGTGGAAATGCCATGCTCTTGACATCCCCGCAAAATTCCTTTGCGTGCATTGCGCGCCGCAGAGCAGAACCCTGCAGCTTTTCGCAAGATTTCCAGGGATTCCGGGTTTGCTGTGGTGCTTTGAGTACGTAAACTCATGCGGGCGGAAGCTGCCTTCTTGTTTGTTTCTTTCCCGGCGCTTCATTTTTGAGCCCTGCTTTCACTCAAGGCAGACTGAACACATATCTTGTGAGGCTGATGTAGTTGCAGTGCGGCGCCCAGTCATTTAGTGGATTGGATTGGTGGCTGTAGGGATTGAACCTCTGGTTGAAGGCGCCCAGGACCCCAAACCATCAAGCCCAAAAAAGAAATCAAGCAAGCAAGAGTTGGCTGCAGGTGCCAAGCAAAGAAACCTAGATAATTCAAAATGGATTTCACTCGGAGCCGTGCAGCACATGCGAGATTTGCAAACTGCCCGAGTACTTGGCTGAGTGACGCGGGCGTTTTCAGGCGTGCCAATCAATGGACGTGAGCCTGGCAGGTACCCAGATACCCCTTCACAGCTTGTTCCAACCATGAAAGGCATGCAGGCAACAGGGCAATCGGATTCATAGACCTGGCGGATTAACGAATTGATTTTTTTCAACCCCATCCGCTTTGAAGGGGAACCCTAGCAATCACCGGGTTTGTTCATCCTGGGCCTGCCATGGCGAAGCATGGCGCAGAGGCGGGCTGTGTGGCCACTGACAGTTAGCTAGATTGAGGCAAGGCGTTGGCAGAGCCGGAGGCGACGCAAAGCAACTAACTCTGTAACTCAGCGGCCTTTTACACAAGTGCCGGACATCTGCAGAGGAACCAGTGTGAGATGCACTTTCTCCTTGAACGGCTTGCGGAAGTTCATCTACACAGTTTGAGAGCTGCAGGCTTCGCTGCCCATTTCCCCCTTGATCAGAATTCGCTTTTGAATGACCAATTGATCAAGTCGGGGCCGTGCTCTTCAGAAGGCCTACCATGGACATCCACGGTCCATGGGCTGCATTTTGCCAGCAGCAGCATTCCTTTTCCCACTCAGCCGTCACAACATAAATCAGGAACCAGGCCAGGCGACAAAACTGCCAGCTAAAAGCATCAAGCTCAATGGGGTATCCTCGGGCGAAGCGCCGGTTCCTTCCTTCGTTGGGACAAGTTGCGTGAGCGCTGTTATTTCGTGGTACAGCCAGGTGCAGTAAGCCACCAAGCAAGCAGAGAGAGAGAGAGAGAGAGCGTCAGAGAGAGAGAGAGAGAGAGAGAGAGAGAGAGAGAGAGAGAGAGAGAGAGAGAGACAGAGAGAGACAGAGAGAGCGAGGGGGAGTAATTACAAGTAAGGCTAATCGCAGGCATTTGTCGACCCAGACGAGATTGAGCAGAGCCCTCCGCCAGAGGCAGTGTCATTGGTGAGATCGCATGCGAGTTGAGTGTAAGACCCTTTGGGGTGTCCCTCCCTATACAAAGAGTTCTGCTTTTGAGGGTGTTGAGGCTTGTCCCACGAATTTGATTGGCTAATCGAGCCTCAACACTGCAATGGCCTGTTTATTTGCCCTGCTGCTGAAAGAGCAGGGGCTCTTGCGAGGGGCAAGCCGGAGACGGATCATTCAGACCTCATGGCGTCCTTCTGTGGGGTGGGTTGGCTTTGAAGGCCAAGCCTCCGCAAGAGCGGCGCAAGAGAATCTCTCCGCCAATCTTGAAAGCCTCCCCACGTGATAAGTATTCTTCTGGTGTAAAGATGTTGTGAATAGGGTCCAGGGGCGTCCCAGGGCTTCCGCTGTCCTTCTCCGAATGGGGTCCGCCATTTTCCAGGAGCAAATCCCATCAAAATCAAAGCCACACCGTGCCAAATAACGAGTTTAAATTGAAAGGCGCAATTGAAATTGGACTTAGATACTTGAAGTTGAACCTGTGACATCATAAAATCATGTCCTTCTGGAGATCCCCTTAACACCTGCAGTGGGGGTCAGCGGGAAATCTGTTGGTTTTAAACTCGTGTATTGTAATCATAGCCTGCTCACCAGGGAGGCCGACCGCGCATGCCCACCCTGGGCACAACACATGAGCACGGAGTCGTTCAACACAAGACTGAAGCATGAGCCTAGAACAGAAAGAAAGTATTCAAGGTATTCACAACAACAAGCATGGGCAGTCATTGACATCCGGGCGTCACGCAAGTATCAACCTCGAGCTCACAAACCCAGGCAAAGGGTGCAAAATTATTTCAAGCGCGGCGAACAACAGAGCAGCACCAAATCCAAACTCCGAACCGGCTATATGAGAAAGTGGCTCCGTTTGCGTTCGATCCTGGTAGAAGATAGGATTTGTTCCGCGTGGGCGCGTTCTGTGTGGCTTGGCCAGGCTGTCGACTTAAAGCTGCACTTCCAGACTGGCAACTCGGCGGGGAACATGGAGAAGCGGGCGGGGGGGTGGGGGGGGGTGGGGGCGGGGCGACAGAATGTAGCCGCGGCCAGTTCCATGTATTGCGTGGTTGGTCAAAGAATAGATTAAACATTGTAGAATGAAAGGTGTTGTTCATTCCCCGATGGCAAGCCCTTGGACCACAGAACGAAAGGAATCTCCATTCAGAATGTGAAGCCTAGATTTATCCACCAGAGGAGGGGTTATTCATCAGGGGACCACCTCCACGTCGTTGACTTAGCATGCGTTTGTGCCAGCCAAAGCCAAGGCTCGCATGCTGGGCAGTGGGGTGACTTCGATGAACGGGGCGTGCCCCATGCAAACGTGAAGGCTTGATGCCTGGAGAGAAAGTCAAAGGGAAGAGGCGCTTAGAGGCCCTTTCTGAGAAGTGGTTTGTGAACAAACTCGCTGATTCTCGGAGAGGGCAATCATTCGAGATTCAGAGTTTGTTGAAACTAGGGCACACAGGCCTGTTTTCGGCTACAGTTGCAGAGTTGCCCGTTGCAAGCTTCGTGGTGGCACCGCGCTTGCCTGGCCATTGGGCGTACCCCTCGGGTGCATGGGCGTTTGATGCGTTTCGTTGAGGCACTCAGGAAGACAAAGACCCAAGTTGTCCCACCCTTCTCAGGACGGTGAAAGCCGTATTTTCAAGTTTGTGAGAGTCAGAGTCAGGGCATACCAAATGTACGGTTTGATGAGCAGCCTTCATAAGCCGCCGTTGATCTTCCTCAAGCGGCGAACAGTTGGGTGAGGTGGTGAATGCACTGGCTGCTCCACCCGCCAAACCACAGCCGCTCAAATAGCTCGCAAGCTGTCCCTTGCGCGTGCGCCTGCAGGGTAAGAAGCTGACCAAGAAGGAGAAGGACTGCACCTGCGCCGCCTGTGACACTGACAGAGTTCGACAGACTTGAGCCGCCATATTGGAAACTGAGACGCCGGCGCCGCGAGGAGATGACCCAGCCAAGAAACATGTCGGCATTAAACTACTGCGATCCTACTCGTGTCACAGGGTTCCTCATACACATATGTATATATATATATATATATACATACGTAGATAGGTATGTGATCAAGCTTACCAACTCACTCCGACAAGCAATTATTGTGAATCATAGGATGTCTAGGGTGCGTTTGCCCAACCTGAAGCCATGCCGCAGAAGCCGCTGCCCGCCCAAAAGACTTAGTTGGTTGACCTTGGTGCCCATGTATCGCGGGGCAAGAAGAGGTGCGCAGCAGACAGGAGCTTGTGGAAACCGAGTACATGTCAGCCAAGAAGAGGTGCCAACACCAGCTGAAGGCTGGCAAGAAACTGCACTTACCGTTTGACACTGGGACAGTCGCCAATTTACCCCCATTTCCTCCCCCCACCCATTCCTTGGAGCTACGATTTCCCGGTGGCTCGGGGACGGGGATTGTTAAATCAAGCAGCGATGCTTGGCCCCCAATCACGTAGAAAAAGACGGAGTTAGTTGCCGAGAAACGGCCCACGCCTGCAACTGTCATGCGGTGCCGAGAAGTTTGTCAAGTTGTCAGTGATTAAGTTTTGAACTGTTGTGGCCAGCAGCTCACGTATTCGCCAATGAGCCAACCTCATCGATCCCGTATGCTTGCTTCGGATCTCAAACCTTCCGACAGCGCATGAGCTGTAGTTGGGCCATGTTCAGGCACCGTCCCCGCTGCTGCGAATATTGGTGTTCCGTTGGTTGGTTTTTCATCCCGTCTTACCCGCAATCCCTTATGGATTTCACATGCCTTCATTCCGACTAATGTTGACCTCGGATCCATTAACCTTGCGGATCAAAACTGCCTTTCAGCGGTAAAGCGCATCCCCCGCCAACTGACTTGGGGCGATGAAACTCCGGCGGTTCAGCCTTCCGGCCAGTCCAGCCAAGTGCCAGGCCTGGGAGGAGTGGGAGCTGCGGCTCAACAAGGCGGAGAAGGAGCTGGGGAAAAGGGACCGCGTGCGCTGGGCATACAGGCGGGCGGCTTGCGCGGCTTGCTCCAGGCCAAGCTTTCGAGCCACAGAAGCCTTTTGGAAGGTATGTTTTCTCTTGTCTTGGGCTGGTTCATGTTGGTGAAATGGCATTGGCTCTACACCTGTCAAACAAGGCCAAGAACATGAAGAAATAGGGTTTTGCACGTGCAAGCATTCATGTCGTGGCAGAGCTTTTGTGATAGACTGATGTGCTTGAGGGAGGCCAATTGGGACAGCCAAACTTCAAGCTGCCCGCTGGCTCAGGGACGAAGCTTTGTGAAATCGCCGAGCTGTTCCACTAGTGGCATTGACAAAGGACTAGAGAGACTCTTTCAGCCCACATGAAACCCACCAACATCTCCCTTGTTGGAAAAAGATGGCCTTTGGGAGGCACTAGGTCAGTGACGTGGGTGGGAAAGTATGGCGCACAGCAAGCCACAGTAGTTGGGTCCGCAAAAGGCAAAACGAAGATCTCAGCAACTTCAAGGTTTGCTTGGGCACCACTTGCTGTATTGTCGGCGGGCATGCTTGCGTAAGCCAGGGCATCCGGGCCGAGCAAGCACGCTACACTACACATTGATGAGCTGGAGGAGAGGGGCGTGAATTGGTAGAAGCACAGCAGGGCATGAGAGGAATTCGGATGTGGACAAAATTAAAGCATTGCACTTATTCTGAAAATGGAAGCGCCGGCTGGGAAGCAGGACGACAAACCAGCAAACCCAGGGG